CCCTCTCTTGTCACATTAAAATAAATAAATAAAGTTAAATAAAATAATTCTTAAAAAAAAAAAAGAAAGAAAAAAAGAAAAGAAATTCAGAGGTCATCGTGCTGTTTGAGATTAAGGCTCAGAGAGGTTAGGGAGTCACCCGAGATGGCACAGCAAGCCCCATGTGTGCTGGGCCACTCCCCTTCCGTTTGGTACTGCCCACCGGATTCCCCATGCCCCTTCTGGGCTGGCTTCAGAAGTCCCAACGGCCAGCACAGGACCCACCATTCCCATCTTCCCCAGGGGTGGTCAAAGTCGTCTTCATCCTCTACAACAACCTGGGCCTCTTCCTGTCCACGGAGAACGCCACGGTGAAGCTGGCGGGCGAGGCGGGCGCGGGCGGCCCCGGGGGCGCCTCCCTGGTGGTGAACTCGCAGGTCATCGCGGCTTCCATCAACAAGGAGTCCAGTCGCGTCTTCCTCATGGACCCTGTCATCTTCACGGTGGCCCACCTCGAGGTGAGCCGAGCGGGGCCCCAGCTTCCTCTGCGCACCTGTCTGCTCTCTCCCCCGGGTATCGTCTTCACGGGCCGGTTCCCTTTAGAACGCTGTCCCCTGAGACCTGAAATCCCATGCCCCGTCCCCATCGCTGGGGGGGCCTGGGGAGGGGAGGGTGGCGGGAATGGGACTCCCGCGTTCTGACACCCGGGGCGCCATCCCGCCATAGGACAAGAACCACTTCAACGCTAACTGCTCCTTCTGGAACTACTCGGAGCGGTCCATGCTGGGCTACTGGTCGACCCAGGGCTGCCGCCTGGTGGAGTCCAACAAGACCCACACCACGTGCGCCTGCAGCCACCTCACCAACTTCGCCGTGCTCATGGCCCACCGCGAGATCGTAAGCCCCGGCCGGCATGCCGCGCCCACCACCCCTCCCCCTACACCACCGCCACCCCCTTCCGGGAGCCGGGTTTGCTAGCTTGGGTTTGCACGGCACCCTGGAACCCGAGTCTCCCCCACCCCGTCTCCCAAGGCATGCTGGAGACGCAAGTTGGCATGGCCTTGGTCATCTCCGCACATGAGCGGCCGCCTGCAGAGGGGAGGGGGCCTGGCAGGTGGGAGGTCCTGAGCGCGCCCCGCCCCTGTCGCCCAGTACCAGGGCCGCATCAACGAGCTGCTGCTGTCGGTCATCACCTGGGTGGGCATCGTCATCTCGCTGGTGTGCCTGGCCATCTGCATCTCCACCTTCTGCTTCCTGCGGGGGCTGCAGACCGACCGCAACACCATCCACAAGAACCTCTGCATCAACCTCTTCCTGGCCGAGCTGCTCTTCCTGGTCGGGATAGACAAGACGCAGTACGAGGTGGGGGCCTGGGGCCGCGGCGGTGCTGCAGGGCGGGGGTAGGAAAGGAGCCGGCCCCGCCCCTGACCCGGCGGCGCCCTCCCCCAGATCGCCTGCCCCATCTTCGCCGGCCTGCTGCATTACTTCTTCCTGGCCGCCTTCTCCTGGTTGTGCCTGGAGGGCGTGCACCTCTACCTGCTGCTGGTGGAGGTGTTCGAGAGCGAGTACTCGCGCACCAAGTACTACTACCTGGGCGGCTACTGCTTCCCGGCCCTGGTGGTGGGCATCGCCGCCGCCATCGACTACCGCAGCTACGGCACCGAGAAGGCGTGAGTGTCCCCGCTCGCTCCCCCTCCACCCACCCACCCACCGGGGCTCTGCCCCTCCTGGCTTCCTGCTCCGGGCCAGGACCCTGGGGACACGGGCCTTGCCCCAACTCTGCTCACCAAGGCCATGGCAGCCTGTGGGTGACCCCAGCCGACTGGGATAAGGGAGAAGGGCTCCCCTGGCTTTCCAGAATGAGATAGAAGAGCCCCCAGCTTCCTGGGTGAGAGGGAAGGGCCCCACTTCCCTGCATGAGAGGGAAGGCTTCCAGGCTCCTCCAGATGACAGAGAAGGACCCCCCCCCCAGCTTCCTGGGTGAGAGGGAAGGGCCCTCTGGCTTCCTGAGACAAGAGAGAAGGGGCCCCTGGCTTTCCAGGATGAGAGGAAAGGGCTTCTCGGGTGAGAAGAAAGGCCCCCCGGCTTCCCAGGATGAGATCGAAGGACCCCCAGCTTCCCCAGATGCCAGAGGACCCCTGGCTTCCTGGGATGAGAGGGAAGGGCCCCCCAACTTCCTGGGATGAGAAGGAAGGGGGCCCAGCTTCCCAGGATGAAACAGAAGAGCCCTGGCTTCTCGGGATGAGACGGAAAGTCCCCCCGGCTTCCTGGGAGGAGAGAGGAGGACCCCTCAACTTCCTGGGATGAGAAGGAAGGGGGCCCCGCTTCCCAGGAGGAGAGAGAAAGAAGGGGGCCTGGCTTCCCAGGATGAGAGAGAGCCCTGACTTCTCAGGATGAGAGGGAAGCACTCCCCGGCTTCCCGGGAGGAGAGAGGAGGATCCCCCAACTTCCTGGGATGAGAAGGAAGGGGGCCCCGCTTCCCAGGAGGAGAGAGAAGGGCCCCCACTTCCCCGGTTTCTATCTACCCCACCCCATTTCTGTCACAGCTGCTGGCTCCGCGTGGACAATTACTTCATCTGGAGCTTCATCGGGCCCGTGTCTTTTGTCATCGTGGTAAGTGGGAAGGTGGCAACCTGGCAACGTGTCCCCTTTCATCCAGGCTGGCCAGACCCCGGGCCCCCCATCCCACTCTTCCTGGGCCCCAAGAAGCGCTGGCTTGAAGACTTCGTTGGAAAGCACCGGGCACCCCGCTTAGAGCAGAGCAGGGTGCGGGACCCGGGTACTGAGGTCTGGTGAGCCAGGAGCTGTGTGGCCCCGGGCCCCGAGCCCCCGACAGCCAGGAGGGCGCTGACTCACCAGTCCTGCCCGGGGCTAGCGTAGTGCAGCAGCAGATCTCCCAGGTCCGGGGATCTCCCAGCAGACGAGGCCCCACAGCAGGGGATGGTAGCTGAGATCCTGCCAGGCCTGGCCCTGGCCTCCAAGGGCTCAGGGGGAGCAGGGGACCGCAGCCCAGCCTCCTGTCCTCATCCCGCCCCAGGTGAACCTGGTGTTCCTCATGGTGACCCTGCACAAGATGATCCGGAGCTCCTCAGTGCTCAAGCCCGACTCCAGTCGTCTCGACAACATTAAGTGAGCACCCCCCATCCCTGTCCCCAACCCCGACGCCAGGGCTCCTAAAAGGTGCTTCTCTTAGATCTGGTGGTTCTGCTGCGGGTGGGTTTTTCCTTTCTTTTTTAAAAATTATTTTGTTTATTTATTTATTTATCGAGAGGTTTTTCGCTATAGGGCATGTGTGCTCGCCAGACAGAAAGAGACAGAGAGACAGAAAGCGAGAAATCACCCCCCAGGGGGGATGGCCGCACCGCAATCCCTTCTCCTCCATTCTCCTCTCGGGATCTTGGGCATGCACGCCAATTGTTACCAGCATTATTCTTGCAGCATGCTGTACCATGCTTTTTCTACTTTAAGTTAAACAGTCATTATCTTTATTGTGAGGCCTCCTCTTCTTTTTCTTTTTTTTAAAGTATTACTTATTTTTTATTTATTTATTAGTATTATTATTTTTCACATGACTTTTGCCAGAGAAAGAGAGAGACAGAAGAGAATGCAACCCACCAAGTACGGGACTCGAACTGTGGTCAACCATGTGGGAATTCCAGTGCCTTAGCCACCACGCCACTCTCTGGCCCGGTGGTCCTTTGCTTTCCTTTTCTCTTTTCTTCTCTTCTCTTTTTTAAAGTTGAATGTTTTCTATTTCATTCATTTATTAATTTATTCTATCTTTTATTTATTTAGTTTTATTTAACTTTTATTATTATTTTTTTCTTGAGAGGTTTTTTTAGCTATAGGGCGCGTGCACTCGCCCAGAAAGACAGAGAGAGACAGAGAAATAGAAAGCGAGAAATCACCCCCCAGGGGGGATGGTCATGTCGCAATCCCTGCTCCTCCATTCTCCTCTCGGGATCTTGGGCACGCACGCACAAGTGCCTGGTGTGAGTTTAAGCCACCGGGTCCAGGACTCGAACCACGGTCGCCTACGTGGGAGTCCAGCGACATAGCCATTACGCTAACTGCTGGGCCCACTCTTGGTGGTTTTTATGATGCAAAGAGAACACGCATGTAGGAGGGAGAGAGAGAGAGAGGGTCCCTGACAAGGCCTTGCCAGCTCCCACACCCAGCCTGTTCAGTTGGGCCAAGAACCGAACCCGGGCCTCCCACGCGGCCTCAGCCACCACCCAGCAGCTCCTTCCTGCTCTTACCACCATAGCCAGGCCCTGTGAGCTGATCTTTAAGTATCGAGAAGGGTGTTTAATTGCGTTCTTTATTTTTTAGTTACTTTATTTAACTTTATTTATAATTATTTAATTTGACCACAGAGTGAGAGAGGGAAAGTAAGAAAGCTAACCGCCAGGTCCAGGACTCGAACCCCAGGTGGCCATTTGGGAGTCCAGCGTCCTTAACCACCACGCCACCTGCCGGCCCCTTATTATGCTCTTTACATACTTACTGACTGCCTATTAGAACACGTGTCAGGGCCAGCACGTGGCTTGGTGGTTAAGGCGCTGGACTCCCACATGGCGGACTGTGGTTCAAGTCCCGGACCCAGTGGCTTGAAAATCACACCAGATGTGTGCATGCGTGCCCAAGATCCCAGGAGGAGGATGGAGGAGAAGGGACTGTGGAGTGGCCATTACCCCTGGGGGGTGATTTCTCACTTTGTCTCTCTCTGTGTTTCTCTGGCAAGCTCACATCACTGGCACATCCAGCCTGCTGTTTTAGGGGTGTCACCACCCTCACGAGGGTGAGGCTGAGTTCAAAAGGTCATCCAATAGGGACCAGCAGTTGGCGTAATGGCTGTGTCTCTGGACTCCCATGTAGTTGACCACAGTTCAAGTCTCGGACCCGGTGGCTTAAACTCACGCTGGGCGAGTGTGCGTGCGTGCCCAAGATCCCGAAAGGAGAATGGAGGAGAAGGGATTGCGGCGTGGCCATCCCCCCTAGGGGGTGATTTTTCGCTTTCTGTTTCTCTGTCTCTCTCTGTCTTTCTGGCGAGCGCATGCGCCCTATAGCAAAAACCTCTCCAAAAACAAAAAAACAACAAAACACAACAAAAGTCATCCAATAAAGGGTAAGTTGAAAAGAAACAGGGCATGGGAACCAGCAGTTAGCGTAATGGCTATGTCGCTGGACTCCCACGTAGTCGACCGCAGTTTGCGTCCCGGACCCGGTGGCTTAAAACTCACACCGGGTGCGTGTGCGTGCGTGCCCAAGATCCCGAGAGGAGAATGGAGGAGAAGGGATTGCGGCGTGACCATCCCCCCTGGGGGCTGATTTCTCGCTTTCTGTCTCTCTGTGTCTCTCTGTCTGTCTGGCGAGCGCACGCGCCCTACAGTGAAAATCTCTCAAAAAAAAAAAAAAAGAAAAAAAGAAACAGGGCAACCGCACAGGCCAGACAGCGGGACAGCAGTGAAACGTGATGCTCTGTGAGGTGGTCCCACAAGAGAAGCTTCCCAGTTCAAGTCCGGAGACCTTCCTTGAGCATGCAGGACACATGTGGGGCCATGATCCAGTGCTGGTTGAGGCCAGGGTATGGTCGTGGTGCCAAGACCCTGTGGCTGTCTCTCTCTCTCTCTCTTTCTGTGTCAACTGCTTCTCTCACTCATGAAAGAAAAATATTAAGAGAGAAATGGGCCATCGGGTGGCATAGTGCTTAAGGCACTGGACTCCCACATGGTCAGCGGTGGTTCAAGTCCTTCACACGGAGTCTTTTTTTTTTTTGGAGAAGTTTTCGCTATAGGGCGCGTGCGCTCGCCAAACAGAGACAGAGAGACAGAAAGCGAGAAATCACCCCCCAGGGGGGATGGTCACGCCGCAATCCCTTCTCCTCCATTCTCCTCTCGGGATCTTGGGCACGCACGCACACGCGCCCAGCGTGAGATTTAAGCCACCGGGTCCGAGACGCGAACCGCGGTCGACTACGTGGGAGTCCAGCGACATAGCCATGACGCCAACTGCTGGTTCCCCTTCACACGGAGTCTTGACATTCATGCCGAGCACGTGTGTGTGCCTGCCCAAAATCCCAGAAGGAGAATGGAGGAGAAAGGACCGTGGTGTGGCCAAACCCCCAGAGGGGTGATTTTTCACTTTCCCTCTCTGTCTCTTTCCAGCGAGTACACACACCCTATAGCAAAAACCTTTAAAAAATAAAATAAAAAGAGGGAGAAAGAGACAGTAAAGCGTGTTTTATTTTTTTTTTTTAAGAGAGATTTTTGCTCTAGGGTGCGTGCACTCACTGGAGAGACACAGAAAGACAGAAAGCAAGGAATCTCCCCCCAGAAGGGTGGACATGCAGCAATCCCTTCTCTTCCATTCTCCTCTCAGGATTTTGGGCACGCACGCACACACACACACACACACCCGGCATGAGTTCGTTTTGTTTTGTTTTGTTTTTATAATTATTTTATTGAACTTTATTTAGTTATTTTTTGAATTTTTTTTTTTTTTGGAGAGGATTTTGCTATAGGGTGCATGCGCTCTCCAGAGAGAGAGAGAGACAGAGAGATAGAAAGCAAGAAGTCACCCCCCCAGAGAGGATGGCCACACCGCAATCCCTTCTCCTCCATTCTCCTCTCAGGATCTTGGGCACGTATGCACACGTGCCTGGTGTAAGTTTAAGCCACTGGGTCTGGGACTTGAACCACGGTCGACTACGTGGGAGTCCAGCGACATAGCCATTATGCCAACTGCTGGTCCCTAGTTATTTTTTAAATTTGACCAGAGAGGGACAGAGTGAGAGACAGAAAGAGGGAGAGAGAGAGGGAAAGTGAGAAAGCAAGCCGTCATGTCCGGGACTCGAACCGTGGTCAGCCATGTGGGAGTCCAGCGCTTTAAATCACCTGCTGGTCCCGGTGAAGTGTACGTTAAGGGGACTGGAAATAGGGCACACACAGTGAAGCCTGCAGGGGAATGAGTGATGTTCACGTCCCCCCCGACCCCCAAGGTCCGCCTCCCTTCCAGGCCCCTGATCGGGCTGTGAGTGTCACCGGGTACTGACATCCCTCTCCCCCCAGATCCTGGGCGCTGGGGGCCATCGCGCTGCTCTTCCTGCTGGGGCTCACCTGGGCGTTTGGCCTCCTGTTCATCAACAAGGAGTCGGTGGTCATGGCTTACCTCTTCACCACCTTCAACGCCTTCCAGGGGGTCTTCATCTTCGTCTTTCACTGCGCCTTACAGAAGAAGGTGAGGGCACGGGGGGCGGGCGCCCAGGAGAGGGAGGTGAGGGTGACAGGGCCCCAGCTCGGCCGAGGACACCTGCCTTTTGCATCCGCTGGGAGGGGATGCAGGCTCGGGAGAATTGAGCCACGGGTGGAAAGGATTCTGGAATAGGATGTGGGGCTTGGAGGAGTGAGATTCGGGGATTTGGGGGGTGATGGGAGGGCAGAGGGCAAGGACGTGGTGACAGCAGGGCCCTTGCCCCCGTGTGGGGCATTAGTCACACCTGCAGATGACAAATGACTGGGCTCCACCTTGATGAGACGCTTTCCACTTGAACGTTTTCCACTTTCTTTTTTTTTTTTTGGAGAGGTTTTTGCTATAGGGCGCGTGCGCTCGCTAAACGGAGACAGAGACAGAGAGCGAGAAATCACCCCCCAGGGAGGATGGTCACACTGCAATTCCTTCTCCTCCATTCTCCTCTCGGGATCTTGGGCACACACGCACACGCGCCCGGCGTGAGTTTTAAGTCACCGGGTCCGGGATGCGAACCACAGTCAACTACGTGGGAGTCCAGCGACATAGCCATGACGCTAATTGCTGGTTTCCCGTTTTCCACTTTCTTTCTGGAAAGAGCTGTGATTTCTGTGGTGATAGAAAGGTGCCTTTTATTATTTTTTTAAATTTAACTTGATTTAATTTTATTAGAGAGGGACAGAGCGAGAGCAAGAGAGGGAAAGTGAGAAAACAAACTGCCAGGTCCGGGACTCGAACTGGAGTCAGCCGTGTGGGAGTCCAGCACCCTTAACCACCATGCCACCTGCCAGCTCTGAATGGTGCCTTTTTAAAAACAATAAAATAAATTATTTTATTTAACTTTATTTATTGACTTATTTAAACCTGACCAGAAAGGGACATAGTGAGATAGAGAGAGAGAGAGCAAGACTTCAGGTCTAAGACTCGAACTGCGATTGACCATGTTGGAATCCAGCACCCTTAACCACCGTACCACTTGCCGCCCTCCCTCCCATGGTGCCCTTTAAAATCTGAATCTTGGGACCAGCAGTTGGCCTAATTGCAGTGTCACTGGACTCCCATGTAGTCGACCGCGGTTCGAGTCCTGGACCCGGTGGCTTAAACTCACGCCGGACACGTGTGCGTGCGTGTCCAAGATCCCGAGAGGAGAATGGAGGAGAAGGGATTGCGGCGTGGCCATCCCCCCTGGGGGCTGATTTCTCACTTTGCTTCTCATTGTCTCTGTCTCTCTCTCTCTCTCCAGCGAGCACATGTACCCTAAGGCAAAAACTTAAAAAAAAAAAATTTAAAATCAAGAGAAAGTATTATGAAAAACCTATTTTTTGGTACCAGAATACCTTGTGTTCTAATCCCATTTACTTCACCCTTTGTGAAGTCCCCTCATTGAAGGAGTCAGGGATGAACACTGTCTGTGCCCGTGTGTTCTGTATTTTAGGGCCCGCTCAAGTTCTGTTGCATTTACAGGTGAATGTAAGGGCGCCGAACTCCCACGTGGCTGACCACGGTTCAAGTCCCGGACCTGGCAGCTTGCTTCCTCACTCTCCCTCTTTTCTCGCGTTGTCCCTTTCTGGTCAAATTAAATAAACAAACAAATAAAGCTAAATGAAATAATTTTCAAAAGAAAAACAGTAGTGGGACCAGCAGTTAGCGTAATGGCTATGTCGCTGGACTCCCACGTGGTCGACCGCGGTTCGTGTCCCGGACCCGGTGGCTTAAAACTCACGCCGGGTGCGTGTGCGTGCGTGCCCAAGATCCCGAGAGGAGAATGGAGGAGAAGGGATTGCGGCGTGACCATCCCCCCTGGGGGGTGATTTCTCACTTTCTGTCTCTATGTCTCTCTCTGTCTGTCTGGCGAGCGCACGCGCCCTACAGTGAAAATCTCTCCAAAAAAAGAAAAACAGTAGTGGGACCAGCAGTTAGCGTAATGGCTATGTTGCTGGACTCCCACGTAGTCAACCGCGGTTCAAGTGGCAGACCCGGTAGCTTAAACTCACACCGGGCGTGTGTGCGTGCATGCCCAAGATCCCGAGAGGAGAAAAGAGGAGAAGGGTTTGTGGCGTGACCATCCCCCCTTGGGGGGTGATTTCTGGATTTCTGTCTCTCTGTCTCTCTCTGTCTGGCGAGCACATGTGCCCTATAGCAAAAACCTCTCCAGAAAAAGAAAGAAAGAAAAACAGTAGTCAGACCCAAGCAAGAAAAGAGTGGACCTGATCGGATGGCTGTTGGGGTACAGGTGGCACTGAGGTTTCTGTCACCTCCCAGTCTCTGGGGGACACACACCTGCTGGAAGCTGGGTTTGTTAGTTTCTTTTCTTTTTTTTTTGTTTAATTTGATAGAGATTTTTGCTATAGCGCGCATGCGCTTGCCAGAGACACAGAGAGAGAATAAGAAATCCCTCCTCCACAGCCAGTCCGGTGGGCCACAGTGCAGTCCTTTCTTTTCCAGACTCTTCTCAGGGTTTTGGACATACGTGTTCGCGCGCGCACACACACACACACACACGTGCCCAGCGTGAGTTTCAAACCACCACATCCGGCACTCAAACCGCGGTCATCCATGTGGGAATCCAGTACCTTAAACTGCTATGCGGGTCTCATTATTATTATTTTTATTATTTTGGTATAGGGCGGGGATAATAGGCGACATGGTGGTTAAGGTGCTGGGCACTCCCACATGGCCAACCAGGGTTCAAGTCCCAGACCTGGTGGCTTGCTTTCTCACTTTCCCTCTCTCTCTCTCTCTCTCTCTCTCTGGTTAAATTTAGAATAAATGAATGAATACATAAAATTAAATATATACTATTTTTCAATAATTATTTAATTTATTTATTTTCATTTGACCAGAGAGGGACAGAGCGAGAGAGACAGGGGAAGTGAGAAAGCAAGCCGCCAGGTCTAGGACTCAAACTACACTCGGCCATGTGGGAGTCCTGTGCCCTTCACTGCCACGCCACTTGTCAGCCCCTAAATGATCCTTGAAAAAAAAATTAGTATAGGGTACATGCGTTCACCAGAGAGAGAGGACGAGAGAAAGCAAGCTATCAGGTTCGGGACTCAAACCGCGGTCGACCGTGCGGGAGTCCAGCGCCTTAACCACCACGCCCCCTGCCGGCCGCCGGAGCTCTCTGTGCGCGGTCCCCAGCCCGCTGACTGCCCCCGCCCGCAGGTGCACAAGGAGTACAGCAAGTGCCTGCGTCACTCGTACTGCTGCATCCGCTCCCCGCCCGGGGCCACCCACGGCTCCCTCAAGACCTCAGCCATGCGAAGCAACACGCGCTACTACACGGGGACCCAGGTAGCGGGGTCCGGCTGGGGTGGCGCCGGGCGGCGGGGGCGTGCCCACCATGGCAGAAGGGTTCCCACGAGCCCACACCCCTCACCTCGCTGTGTCCCCAGAGCCGGATCCGGAGGATGTGGAACGACACTGTGAGGAAACAGACGGAGTCCTCCTTCATGGCGGGGGACATCAACAGCACCCCCACCTTGAACCGAGGTGAGCATGAGTCCCTCCTGCTGCTGCCCGAGCCACGCCCCCACAGCCACGCCCCCTTCCCTAAGGCTCCGCCTCTGGCCACCTTGTGACCTCTGACCCCCTGGGCAGGCACCATGGGGAACCACCTGCTGACCAACCCGGTACTGCAGCCCCGTGGGGGCACTAGCCCCTACAACACCCTCATCGCGGAGTCGGTGGGCTTCAATCCCTCCTCGCCCCCTGTCTTCAACTCCCCAGGTGAGCTCACCGTGAGAAAGCCGGAACCAGGTGGGGGGGAGCCAGGCTGAGGAAGCACAGGGTTTGCATGCTGAGGGGTCCCCAGGGTTGTCCCCTTGGGGCCATGTCACGCTTCCTGAACTGGAGCCCAGACTCGACTTCGGAAGCTCACACTCTCTCTCTCTCTCTCTCTCTCTCTCTTCTCTCTCCTGGCTGGTGCCTGCAGGGAGCTACCGGGAACCCAGTAAGTATGACTTTCCTGGTACCGTGTCCAGGGTGGGGAGAGGGACGTGACAGTGGCCTCCTGTAAGGAGGAGGACTTAGGCGGCCCCCCCAACCCCCACACTCACATGCTGTCTCTGGCTTGGCAGCCCAGTGGATAGCGTTCATTGAGCTCAGCCCCTGCAGGTGGGGAATAGGGGATGAGGGTCCAGCTGCAGCAGTGGACCCAGCACACAGCTGGGTTTTTGTTTTTTTAAGAATTATTTATTTGGGGGGTGAGGACAGCAGGTGGCATAGTGGTTAAGGGCACTGGACTCCCCCATGGCCAACCGTGGTTCGAGTTCCAGACCTGGCAGCTTGCTTTCTCACTTTCTCTCTCTCTCTCACTCTTTCTCTATCTGGTCAAATTAAAATAAGTAAATAAATAAAGTTAAATAAAATGATTCTTTACAAAAAAAAAAAAAAAGAATGATGTGTTTTGGGACCAGCAGATGGGGTAATGGTCATATCGCTGGACTCCCAGGTAGTTGACAGCTGTTCAAGTCCTGGACCCTGTGACTTGAAACTCATGCCGGGCACGTGTGCGTGTGTGTCCAAAATCCCTAGAGGAGAATGGAGGAGAAGGGATTGCGGTGTGGCCATCCCCCCCGGGAGGTGATTTCTCGCTTTCTGTCTCTTTCTGGTGAGTGCACACGCCCTATAGCAAAAACCTCTAAAAAAAATGGTTTTACTTATTATTATTTTAATTTGCTATAGGGCATGTGCACTCACCAGAGAGAGAGAACAAGCAGCCAGGTTAGGGACTCGAACTGTGGTCGGCCATGTGGGAGTCCAGCACCTCAACCAGCATGCCACCTGCAGGCCCTGCAGCTGGGCTGAAGAAAGGGAACGTAGGACCAGGGTCCCCAGGTGGAATGGAGCCACCCCTCCCTGCGCCCCTGGCCTCTCCCCGCCCTCCTCCTCCTGACCGGCCCCTTCCGCCCAGCAGAGCACCCCTTGGGAGGCCTGGGGGGGCCGGGAAGCCTGCGGTATGGACACGCTGCCCCTTAACGGCAACTTCAACAACAGTTACTCCTTGCGAAGTGGAGATTTCCCTCCCGGGGACGGGGGTCCCGAACCGCCGCGGGGCCGGAACCTGGCAGATGCCGCCGCCTTCGAGAAGATGATCATCTCGGAGCTGGTGCACAACACCCTCCGCGGGGGCGGCAGCGGGGCCAAGGGGCCCCCGCCCCCGGAGCCCCCAGT